TAATTGGGCCACGGCTGCACTTCCTGTGAGCCTTCAGTCAGGGGATCGCAGAGGGACCGCGCGCGCGTATCCATGTGTGCGTGCGTGCATCTGTGTGAGTGCGTGTTTTGTCAGGCACACACAGAGAGAGAGAGAGAGAGAGAGAGAGAAAGCGCTGCACGCCAGCCAACGCAGGACACTGCCAACTCATGGAGAAAAAGCAGCGAGCTCCAACATCACGCTATTACAACGCTCCCACTGAATGAGAAACACAGTCTTTTAGTTTGAGCCCACAGTCTAGTGTTTCTTCATCTCCCAGACAAAAGGGGAATTTCAAATTCTTGGATCTGCAGGCCCCCCCCCCCCCACCACACACACACACACACACACACACACACACACACACACACCTCCCCTTCTCTCTTCAGTGCCTTTTCTAGTGATTTGAAGCTTAATCCCCCTCCACCCCCCCACCAACCTACCGCCACCCTCCCTGGTCTTGACACACACATGCGCACAGACACACACACGTACACACCGGAAATCTGTGTCACCCGCTGCCCAGCAGGTCCAGTGACTCCCTGAACGCCTGCAGTCTGGCTCCACTGGCCTGCAAGATGGCAGGAGAGGAGGAGGAGGAGGAGGAGACGAGGGGGCAGGATAGAGGAGAGGAGGAAGGGGGAGGGTTCAGAGAGAGAGTTAGTGGGGGAGAGGAGGGGGGTGGAAAGCGGATCTGGGATGGGGGGCAGGAGGAGGGGGGGAGGGAGGGGTATGGTGAAGGGCAGATAGAGCGAAGGGGTGGTAGGTTGGTTGGTTGGTGTGAGGGGTGGAGGGGGTTGTAGGGGTCAGGGTAAGAGAGTGGCTGAAACATGGGGGAGAAAAAAAAGATGAAAAGCAGGCCACAGGGGGAGAGAGAGAGAGAGAGAGAGAGAGAGAGGGGGGACACGCGGGGAGGAGGACGGGGAGATGGACAGCAGGGGATGAAGATAACGCGGGCCCAAACAAAGAGACGGGAGGGTGGGGGGCGATGAGCGCGAGATCCGGGCCTGAACGCGGAGATGCCGGGGTAACGATAGACGCAGCGTCCGGAGCTCCGGTGTGCGCCGTCACAAAAACCCCCGTGGAGCTTACATATGTTAGCAGGGGGAAAAACTCTTCTCTCTCTCTCTCTCTTCCACACACACTGCAGTGGAGCAACCTGCCAGCCCCAAGGCAACCTGCACTGCTGCTGGGCGGGCCCTCACTCAGGAGCCAGTCCTTTGAAATGTTGGCCACAGCAGTTCGCTGAGACACTGTGTCTCATTGTGAATGTGTGTGTTTTCTCCTCCTCTGGTTGTATTCTCACTGTAGCAGCCTCACGGCCTCTTCCGCCCGTCCGTTTGTGTTGTTGTTTTGTTGGGTTTTATTCTTCGAGCTAACTCCCAAACACACACACAATGGCCTTCTTGCATCCCCGCGAAAAAAAAACACAAACAAAAAAAACCAAAACGAAGCTCTTGCTCATCTGCCCCTCAGGTGATATTATGGTGACACGGAGGTCAAAGGGGTCTCTTGACCTTTGACACTTAAATCTGTTAAAGGTGGATACAGAATAAGCTGAAATCTCAAACAACACCAGGTCTGTGTAGCTGGGCTCCTTCTCGAAGCAGAAAAAAGTGAGATGAGCGTAAAAGGAAAAAAGAGAGAGGTGCATTTATTCCTGGTGATGATGGCTACGCAGAAATCTGTTAATCTTTAGCCCGCTGCTCTCCTTTTTTTTCTTTTTTTTTCCAGGAAGCTAAAGCAAAGCGATAACACCTGCTGGCTGCAGGGATGTTTCATCATGGCTCGTCTGGAAGCCACCTCATGACGTACGTCTGACGTTTCCTGCTCCGTTCGTGAGCAGGAACTCTCTCTCAACGACGGTTCAAATTTAAAACATGACATTTTAATAAAGTCATCCGCAACAGGTTCATCTTTACCAACAATCTTCAACTGTTGATCTGAATTAGCTGAGAAATGTCACGTTATTAGCATTAAGTTACATTGAGAACATGCAACATGTTGAAGAAAATATGAAAACAAATTGTAGATTTAAAAAAAGCTAATACTTAATTACTTATCTATTGATAAGACCCGTAAGTCAGAATGTAAACATAATGCCAGTTGGCAAGTGTCTTGTCAACTCTCGGAAGCTAGCACGGTGTTAGCATGCTAACGGTGGGTAAACCGCCACCGCGAGCAATTTCACGCCGTGACGTAAGACATGAGATGTGACACGTTGTTGGCCAGCGGCGAAAGAAACGTGAAGAAGAATCATAATAAAAATCAGTTATTCAAGACAAAACTGTTCTCATTAACAGAACGCTAACTCGCTGCATTCGGCAGGTTCGCTGTCGTTTGCTAGCCGTGTTAGCATGCTAACGGCTGCTAATTAGCACAACAGACAAACTTAACGTGGGACTCGAGCTTAAAGCTAACTTCAGCAGTGGCGTTCGTTTTCCTGAGACATTTGTCTGAGACATTCACTGAGCACATTGTCTGTTGAGGCTTTGTCCCTGATGTATTTATGGATCTTAGTTGTTTCGTCCTGGACAGTGGTTCTCACACTCACTAGTCCTCTGCCTCCGTCCTTGCAGCTCATGTACAGTCTCAGGGTGCTGGATTTGGGGTGGAACCCTCCATGCATGGTTTAGTTTTCCAGTCTTAATATCTGTGGCTTTTATATATATATATATATATATATATATATATATATATATATATATATATATATATATATATATATATATATATATATATTATATATATATATATATATATATATATATATATTTATATATATATATCTTTTTAAGATGTTTATTGGAGGGCCTACATGCTACAGTTGTCAGAAGTCTACTACAAATTCTTGCAAGATTAATTTAGGTGAAGTTGTTTAATGATGGAGCTTATTTTTGACTAAATACAATTAAAAATCTGGGATTGACAGCGAGTCAGAAACATTTCCCCTGCCACGAAAGACGCGCCACAATAGACACATTTCTACCTTGTTCAGTAAACAAGTCCAAAGTCCAGTTAATTAATAAGATCAACTAGTTCAGCCTGAAATAATGATCTCCTAACTGTGGCATACCGGGTGCATTCAAATCTTTGCGATCTTGATAACACGGTTTCACTGACTGACAGAGTTCAGCAGCCACAGTATGACGACGATCACAAGTTTGCACTATTTCCTCAATTGAGTTTTGTTTTTTATTTTTACCCTCTTTTTAAGTCACTTAAGATGTCAAACGACATTTGAATAAATTATTCTGCAACCTGGGACCATTCAGTCACCTAATGGCTGATTACTAGTGATTTAATCTCCTTTTGTTGGCATGCTTTTCAAAGCCGCTGCCAGTTTCTGCTCTGCCGACTCTCTCTCTCTGTCTGTTTAACCCTCGTTCGGTTCCCACAACAACTGTCACAGCCGAGACACTTGCAAGGCCAATTACCGCGACTGGCTATATCATATTTGAATGAGGCAATTTCAGTTCGAATCTTTCACTCAGCCGTTTATGGGATTTGCTCTTCCAAAAGCTGCATAAATGCCTTTATTAATCACTTATTGAAGAAGAGGAATATGCCGGGCTAAGTGGGAAAGTTTCCCTAAATGTGATTTAAAAAGTAGTTTTGCTAATCCTAAATTATTAGATTGTGTTGCGAAGTATCCCTCGCTCTCACGTGTCAAAGGTTTTTGTTAGACTAACGCAAAGCAGTGCATAATTGTCAAGTGAATGTGAAATCAAACATTTTTCTTTTTTTCCAAAAGAAAAATCTCAAAAGTGTGGTGTGCATTTGTCCCAATTGTGAAAATGATAGAAGTCTATCATTTATTTACCATTGAACATTCGAAACAAAACAGCATCCCTGAATACATCATTCACCTGGTGAAACACGGTGGTGGCAGCATCATGATGTGTTTATGCTCTTCTTCAGCAGGGATAGGGATGGTGGAGGTGATCAAGGTAGCTAGGGTAACCCAAGAGGAAAGCTTTTTAGGAACTGCAGAAGAGTTGGGACAGGAGCGGAGGTTTGCCTTCTAGCAGCTAACGACTCTTAGGGTAGAGCTAAAGCCACAATAGGATACTTTAGATCAAAAATTAATTAAAAAAAGAGACGTGATCCCAGATGTGCGAAGCTGATAACGAGAATCCTCCACAGACTTGAGTCAGAAATCAGGTTCTTATTAAAAAAAGAAATGTCAGAAAGCCTGTCATTTCCCTTCCACTTTGTTTGTCCTTTAAGCCAAATCCGAGTGTAAAACGTAAAACAGTGACGTTTGTGGTTCTGTGACAGAATGTTTAAAAAAAAAAAGATTCGTTTTTCACAGTGTTATGTGATTGATAAACTTGTTCAAATCATGAAATACTTTGCAATGACCACTCTTCTCTCCAACGCTATTTGTAGTTTCCCGAGGAGTCGCCAACACGACCCCAGCTAGCCGCCTGCTAGCATCCGTGGCCCCGAACCACCTGCAGTGGTTCGGGGCCGACTGCATTATAAGAAGTCAATAACGGGCACTTTCTCAGAGAACAAAGATGAAGCGACTCCTACAATGCTTTGCTGGGAAACCCAACACTGTCCTACTATATATAGCGGGGCTTTTCGCACTGTGCGCATGACTGCTTGTGTTGAGTCACATGATTCAAGATATATGGGTGGATAGACACGCTCACACACACACACACACTCTCACGGGCTGATGGCGTGGAGGAGGTGAGGGAATGCGCTGAGGTTTATTGAGTTGAGTGTGACGTTTCTCTTCCCGTGACCAGACTCTCATTTGCTCTGTCTCCCCAAGCGTCTCGGCCTCTGTCTCAGCCCAAACCACATGCTAATCAGCTCTCCGCGCCGTCCGTTTGATCTCCACCAGGCGCTTTTCTGATGCATCCCGCTGAATAGATAATCACCGCGCAAATCACCGATAAAACTCAGCCATGTTGCTGTCGCATCTATCTAAAAGTGTTCCTCTAAGAAGAAGGAAGAAATACGCAGAGTACATTCAACGTTTTATAATGTGTCCCTTCTTGTCCACAGAGGCAGCGGATATATAGTACAAACACTTATATTTGGGTATAATACAAAACAACAACAAAAAACAGCAGAGTCAGCGTGAGCAGGGGTTCAATTGGTGACCAAGTAAAGTGAACATATGACCCACAGGTTAGGTAGTAACTACATCTCAAACAAACCATGACATACAAACACTTGCTTCTGTTGTGTGTGGTTTCATGTTTTTCACAGCTTCTAATATCTGATGGACTGGGGCGCTGTCCACACTCAGGGTTCTGTTGGACTCTGTGCAGAATTTGCTAAACATGTTATGACAAAAATTATGGCAAGAAGAATTTTTCTTTTTCTCAGATGACAGGAATTATAAATGTTTCACTTTTGAAAATGTAAAATAAACAGAACTATAGCTTCGCCACATGGTACACCTGTTCCACCACCCTCAATTTGTTTTTGTCTTTTTTCAATCCGACTACAAATTCTGAGGTTTCAGATGATTGTAGTTTGTACTTGAAGTCGTGAGCTCTCTGGGGCCCCCTGCTGGCTCGGAGGTGTCATACAGGTGTCTGACACACAGCTATCTTTATCCTGAGTGTTCAGGATTAAAACCAAGCGTTGTGCCTAAACACATAGAAGTTTCTTGTAAAACAAAATCCTTCTCAGTGGATGACAACAAGCAGGTATCACGAGCTTAAAGATTCAACAAGTTTTAATACAAACAGGTTTGCTTCTCTTTCTGAGCTCCTTTAATTACCCCAGCACAACTGTTTCTTTGTCAATGATGCTGACGATGCAAACTGTGCTTGCGGTCGCCACAGCTGAGACAAACACTGAAAGTGGCGCAAGAATTCAAGATGAGGAAGATATCTCATCAGGCAGCACAAGCTTCATGCCATCCTAGTGCAAAACATTTACATTTCTTCATATTTTAAATATAGGCATATTCAGGCATGGACTCAAGTCTTTAAAGTCAACTTTAATGTGGAGGTTTGTCCTGTTTTAACTATGCTAATATATCCCTTTCTACCCCCCAGGGCCTGCGGTACCACTTGGCTGTTTAATGCTAGCATTAGCATGCTAACATATCCAGGGCAATGACTGAGCAAAATCTGTAGGAATGTATTCCAATCAATGAAGTCCACTTTATTATGGAAATTTTGAATAGTTTTAACTGCTCTGACATGCTTTTGTGCTTCCCTGGCCTTCTGTACCATTTAGCTAACACTTAATACTAGTGTTAGCATGCCAACACATCCAGAAAAACCGCATTTACCGTCATAGCTTGCTAATGTGTCGATTGGCTCACTAAACGACACCAGAAAGCGCAAATTTAAAGCTCTAAATATTTATTTTGGAATATCAATTTTTAAGGTGCTGCTGAAATTTTTCCCATAGAGCAAAATTAAGAGAAATAGATGTCCTACTGAAAGTTTTTCTGAAAGAAAAGTGTGGTTGAAAAGTTGAAGTGGAAACTTGTTACACATAAAGTCACCTACTCTTTTATAATATGGTTGAAAAGATGTTTAGAGTTGATCAATTGAGCCAACATATTGACACATTTCCTGGGCTAAATTCAGAGGTTGACCGATTGACCAAAGTCATGTTGGGAGATCTAGGAGATAGTGAGAGTAAAGGCAGTTTCTTGCTAACCTTGTATTAAAACAACTTCCCTTGTGACTGAGTGGCAGCTCAAATGTGAACCATTAAGCCATTAGCGACAGAGTATGAAATATGAATCAACAAAGAGGCGCTGCTGTCCAGAAATTGCTCAGTGGTTTTGTTCTAAGTCTTGGACAAGTTCTTGAGTTATATATATCTGGAGCCTCAAGGGCTCCTGATGAGCAGGTCGGTGCTTGTCAGTGTGCAAGGGAGCGTTCCCATGTGAATGTTGAGATGTGTAATTAAATTGTCTAAAATCCCTTTAAGGATAAAGGTACAAGAAGTCCGTTTCATTCTGAGTCCATTTGTTTTATTTCATTCCCAGGATCTGCTGAAAAGACAGAAAGTCCAGAGTTTATATGAACTTGGATGAATATATGTGACTGATTGATGCTTTTTGGTTTCCAACTTCAGAAAAGGTCATCCCAGTATAAAACCACAGTGTTTTTCCATTCAGCAGCGTGTTTGTGTCCACGTCCTGTGGACGCGTAGCCCCTTCAGTGTCTGCCTCCAGATTACAGACTCTGCAAAAATACAAGAGTCTGAATTTCAGTTTCCCCCATTAAGTACACAGTCTAGCTCCCCTCCACAGACGCTTCTCCATCTGCAGGTGGAAATTTTAAATTAGGTTTTGGAAAAGTTCAAAAAAAGGAAACTTGTCCTTTCTTTTTTTTTTTTTTTGCAGTGTATTTATCCCCCACTTGGGTCCTCAAGCAGGAGTACAAATGAGCTGCGGCGTTTGCGTCAGCTCCCACTCCTCAGGGGTTGGGTGTGTTGACGTTCCGCAGGTTGGAGACGCGACGGCGTCTTAATGGACCAGCGCCGTGCCGCTTTTCTGCAGATGAGCCGGTTTGACAGGAATGGGTGGTTTTTTGCAGGCTGGTGGTTTGCTGCAGGCATCGTCCGCAAACGCCTTCTTGAGATGAGCCACGCGACCTTCGCTTTCTGACGTCTCTCTGCACCGCCGAGTTTCTGAAGAAAAAAAAATGAGAGAGAGAGAGAGAAACATCAGAAGAGTTCCAGGAATTATTCCTCTGTTGGTTTTGACTATGAGAAATTTCAGTTACGGTAGATGAGTTAGAACTGAGCAGAATAGTCATAACCCGGGTAAAGTTCAAATTACAACAAACCTCAATGTTTTCATAGGGTTTTTATGCAATGGGCCAACATAAAGCCTTTTATAATTGTAAAGAGGAAGAAAATGATGTATGGTTTTCTATATTTTTAGCAAATAAAAATCAGCAAAGGGTGGCTAGTCTTTATATTTAAGGTGCCCATCTTTTTGGCAAAATCACTCAACCCTAACCCTACATCACTCAAACTGACTGGCGCAATTTTCAAGCCTTGCAATCGAATTTTATTTGGATTTTGGTCCAGACTTTAATTTGATATTCTACTGTAACTCTGGCCACGTGTTTAGGGTCCTGTTGGAAGGTGAACCTTTACTCCAGTGTCAATACTTTTGTAGCCTCTAAGCCGAAGAGCTATATATCCATGGTCCTCCACAACTTCTGTAGCCTCATTAGCTTTAGCCTGGTAGCAACCAGTCCCTTGTTCTACGCTTTGCTTCATAAAGACCATCTGGGATATGTAATATTGAGAAACATCATTTCCTGGAGACGTGGCCTCTGTTAAAGTTTTAAATATTACCTAATCGCTAATGTTCGGTCGGGACGTATAGTGCGCCAGTCTGACACTATGAAGCTTACCAGAAATTGCCTGGCCTATAAACAACCCTCCTCCGAGAGAGAAGTGCCGGATGATGTGAAAGTGTGAATTTCCTTCTTTCATATTGTTTGAGTGACTGTGGCACACTTCCTACATATAACTTTAGTTTTCATTTTGCAGTGTTTTCATCTACACACATTCACTGTGTATTGTGCCAACATTATGTGGCCTTTCTCTTGCTACTCTTCCTCCTTCTGAGGACTAGAAGTAGTTGCCTTGTCAACAGATTCTCCCACCTGAGCACTGGATCTTTCCAGTGACAAGCTATCTGGCAATGGGATACCTTGACGTTTGTAGCTACAAATGTGAAAATGTATGTACACTTTAGCGAGGTGCTGCATATTTCAGCTCCTATAGGCAGGAATCATCCTTGTCTCACCTCCGTCCTGTGGAGTGACTCTCTCTGCTTCTGACTGGTGGCTTCGTAGCAACAGGCTTCTACGAAAATGTGGCCTGTAGACGAGGTTCAGCTCAACGCCGTCGTCTTCGTCGGGGTCCTTCGGGTCCTCGTCGGTGCTGCAGTCCGCTACCTCCTCCTCAGATGACTGGTTGATTGGTGAACCTGGATCCTCCTGCGTGTGATTGAGGATATGCTGATCAGAATTCAACGCGTTGGCCGTTTTTTGTATTCTAAAATCCGCCTCCCACATACAAACTCACACGGAGGGGGACTCACATTAACATCTGTGAGAGGGAGCTTGGCGTCGTCTTTGATGCTGAGCTGCTGGGCATCACTTCCTGGCAGCAGGTCCACCGTCTGGATGCAGTTCCTGTTATCACTGAGGAGTCTGTAAGAGAAAGATATCCATTGTTGTTTTTGGAGACCTCCCAGCTTACGGATAAATATTTTGACCTCAGCATAGCAAAACGGGTAATATTACAACTGTTAGCTTAGAATTATGTTATTTTAGAAAGGAATTTCTATTATTGTTTTACATTTTTACTGTCCTACATGTTTATAGATGACCGGCAGAGTTTTCCATTTCTACCTGTTCATGTGGTTCTGCAGAACCTTGGAGGACCTAAATTCATCCACCTCTCCGATTACAGTCACGCTCACATCGCCGTCCCGACTGAGGAGCCAGCTCACTTGTTTGCTGGAAGCTATAGAGACAAACAGACACAAACAAAAATTTAAAAAGTGCTTCATTTGTTTGTTTTCTACCCCACACAGCAAGGCTCTGCCTGAAGCAGACCTCTCAATAGCTGATTTCAGCCAGCAGGTGGTGCTGTCGCACAAGGATAAATCCAGTGAAGCAGAGTATGACAATACATTGTTTGGTAATCTGGGTGTTATTACATATTTAGCTTCATTATTCCTTCAGTTAATTGCCAGTTTTCTAATACAACATGTAATAACCAACATAATTGAACATGAGGTAGTAATAAAATAAGATGTTGTTTCACAGCTATTTTAAGTAAATAAACTTTATAGATAAACACCTCAGTCACACCCTGGAAAAACAACAATAACGTCCAAGTTTTCCTTTAAAGTGACGCGGTGTTTAAAAATAAGCCACCAATCACAGTGAGTAATAGCCCAGGTGTTTTCCATGACTCCACGGACGAAGTTGAAACAACCTGCCGTGACGTCATAGACGGGGGGTGGGGGCGTGGCTTCAGACATTCAAACCCAGAACGTCGCGCTGCGCCGTCTGCCAACTGAAACCACATGGAGCGATGCGTTATCATCAGGGACACATAAGCGACGGTCACATGAGCCCCGAACGCGGACTTCCAACAAAGGAGGCCGTGTTTCTCTCACCGGCGAGCACCGCCGCGCACAAGGGGCCATTGTGTGACGTCACTACCGGCATAAATCCGGGTGTTCGGGTCTCCGTGTTCGCAGCTGCGGTCATGTTACTGAGTTAAATCAGTCAGATGGGGAGACAGAGAAGCCGTTCCCACTGCTGCCTTTGTTACTATCTGCAGGAAAAATGGAGTAATAGGGCCATACTAAGAGAAAATAAAGAAATTACCAGAATAAACTTGTATATATACCAGAAAAAATGGCAAAAAATATACTACTTTAAATCTCAAAGACTTCATTCTCATACGAGTTTATTCTCGTAGTTTTGATTTTATTCCCGTTTTACTTAGTCTTTATTCTCATACAACTTCCTCGTAGTATTATCACTTTATTTTCAAAATATTCTGACTTTGTTCTCGTATTTATTATCCAGACAGTTCGGTATTTTCATTCATTACTTAGCAGAGAGATTGTAAAGTATCCAAAGTAATTTTGAACCTGTCAAATAATCTCACCTTGATAAACAAAAGCGCTCCTCTGAAAGAACACCAAACCCGCAGCGAGGCATGGCGGTGGCAGCATCATGATCCGAGACGCAACCATTAATAGCTCTAAATATCAGTTTGACCCCAATTTGTCAAATATCTAGTAAAAAGCAGAACATGGAGGAAAATGTAGATTGTTTTTTTTTTCTCCCCACAAATTCATAACAGAAAAATACCACAGGGTTTACTTTTGGACTTGTTGAAGTGAAGGTCAGGATTAAAGTTAATTTTAAATAATCTCAGGGACGATGGGTAACGGGCTGACATCGCAACATGATTCACTTGGAGAATTTCTTCTGGGTAGAGAATACTTCCAACTCCAACGTAGAAATCAAATCCTCCCAGCAGGATTGTGCCTTTCGGTTAAATTGTATGGGACGAAGATCCCATTAAATGTGATTAAAGTTTTTAAATTATTTATCAAGGTTAAATTTTTTTAGAATACAAAAACATTTTTTTTTTTACAGCGACCTAAACATCTTTTAGAATCTGTATATTTGGTGACGGGAAAAGGTTTAAAGGCGTCGTAGTGTGACATTGATAAGCCTAAACCAACACGTTGGAGCCCGTCAGTAAAACCGTCTAAGTGGAGCATATTTTCTGCAATGCTAACACGCTTACACACACGCACGCACACACACGCACACACACGCACACACCCACACGCACACACACACACACACTTAGTCTCCTCTCAGGTGACATAGCAGAGATTGGGTAAACAAATGGTAACGTGATATGCGGTCTAAAGCGTGGCGACTCCTGAAACCACAGGGTTTACTCAATCTTCTTCAGCTTTCAGCCCACACAGCAATTGGGCTGCCGTAGACAGAGGCTTTCAGTTACACACACACACATGCACGCACACACACACACACACACGCACACACACACACACACACACACACACACACACACACACACACACTGTAAGTACACTCCCTTTGTGCAGCTGAACCAGTTAAGGTGACAGCGTCTTTGTAAAATAGATCAGCACTTCTAATGAAGGAGGGCTGGGTTTAATGACTAAAACACAAGCTGAAAAAAACAAACACTTAATTTGATTGGTAACATTAGAGACACAACTCCTGATTCATTACTTATGCACACTTTGAGTTTAGAAGATTACAGAATTAATTATTTGTAAAATAGCTTACAAGTGCCGTCTTCACAACATACCTATAGATTGTTTGTTGCACCCAAATATCATAAATAGTTGGAGGAATTATAAAAACAGATTTTTGGTTGCCAGTAGTTACCCTCTGAATCCTAAAATGTCTGAAATGATAACTAACTTTTAAGTCAAATTGAAGTATTTTCCAGCCATTTTCAGCCCTTTTGCTAACTGTGGGTTATTATTGCAGAGTGAGATCTTATAACTTAGCTTTAGCTTAGATTGGAAAACTGAACAACAGCTGAGAAAACATTGTTATTCAGACCAAAATAAGAACTAAACTAACTACAAGTACATATAAGTTCAGCAATCAGTTTTCAAAGTCAACACAGATTGACTTAGCCAGCTTAAAGAAGTATAAAGCTAGCTGTCAGATTTTATGAGCGCCTCTCAGACAAAAGCAATGGATTGGTGGGTTTAACCGGAATTACCTTTCAGGCCTTAAGATCACCTTTAATTTAAAAAAAAAAAGTTACTTGAAGACTTTATTCACTTTTAGGCAGTAACCAACAATAATTTTTTCAGCCAAATCCAACTTTTATAAAGATTTACAACATTTTACTACCGTTTCGATTACGTTTTTTGAAACTGAGTCGAATGCGTTTTGATAGAAGGCGGCGAGCATTTAGAATAAATCCGCCATCCCTACGTATGTCACTGCAGTTGGTGTACCTTTGTATGAGGCACTGGCCCATGCTAATATAAACAAAATGCTTACATTGAATTCAATAATTGAATTATTTGTCTTAAAGTGACTTTCTAAACATATTGTTTGGAGTATAACATGATTCATTGAAGGCAGGTCATTCTTTAACATAAGGACTTATCAGTTTAGTGAAAACACGAGGCTTCAAAAGAGCATTTATTTAGACGCCAACACTCTTTATTAGTGCTGTATGCGGTGGATTGGTAATTATTTAACCTTTCATTACAACTACATCTGAGCCAGCATCAAAATGTTTAGTTTGGTGTCAAGATAAGCAGACACGGGGTCAATGATGTGCCTGATCTAAATGAAACGGTTGCTTTCCTGAGTTTAAGAAAAAGAGTACCATCTGTTGCTTTAAGTTAGCGCCAACTTCTTCTGCCAAACGAAGGCCTCAATCACAAAAACACCCAGCAAAAAATGTTGCTCTTCCTGTTGGTGCATCATCCTTTTTGTAAAACTGAGAATAACTCTTGTTCAATATAGCTTATAGTAATTAAATCATGAGCTCTCCCCCTGCCAGTCGAACCGGTATGACGTAAGGAGCGCTGAGCTCCATACCTTTCTTGGGCTTCGTGTTCCTGTAGGTCCTTCCTTCTCGCTCTTCCTTCTCCTCGTGCGCTCTCCAGCGCCGTACCTGCTCCTCTCTCATCTTCAGAAACAGAACCTTCTTCTGCTCCTCGCTGAGGGCCTCCAGCACCTCAGGGTCCACCCACATCTCCTTGAGGATCTGAGCCAGCATCTTGTCTCTCTGTCCGTCCTGCAGTCGCTTCTTCCTGAGTTCGAGTTCCCTCGGATTGGGGGAGGATGAGGAAGCAGAAGTGGTCTCCTGCGTCAGTTGTGTTTCTCTGGACGTGGAAGTCAGGAGTGTCCGGATCGGTTTTGGCCGTCAAGACTTGTTGCCTTTGCTGTGAATGTTGGAGAGACAGAGAGATTAGATTGGCTGCATTGTTCAGTCCCTCTCCATTCAATTGTGTTTTGGCTGGCAGGACACAATGGGACCCGAGCAAATAATGCCCCCTCTGCCACACAAGTGTATGTGTGTGTGTGTATAGTGGGGAATGCTGCTGGGTTTCTAAACACTGAAAGCAAACAGGGGCAGGTTCAGTATGTCAACACACTCACAGGGTGGGGTGCTAATGACTCCACATTATCTGTGAGTAACAGACACTGAGACGAAAACCCTGTTCAATAATTTATTTCAACAGACAGACAAGCTTTTTTTTTTTTTTTTTTTTTTTTGCTACTTATCGACCCACGTGACGCCGGTGCTCTATTCCAGTCAGGAAGTCCACAAGTTAATAAAAGAAAAAAAAATCCACGAATTGCCCTTGACCTCTCTCTCGCTCTGTGTGTGTGTCAATAAAAGCAGCCTCGGTCTTGTACGCACTTTTGAAAAATACCCAACCAAAGAGCCAATGGGGCTCGAGTCTGTGGTAACTATTAACCAATCCACACCTGTGCAGGAGGCTGGTGGCAATATAGTTTCAATGTAAGAAAAAAAAAAATCAAAGATGAAAAAATTGAGGGCTTATGATTAATTTGCACATTTGTTTAAATGGGCAAAATGTAAATAAATAATAATAATTTAAAAAAGTTGAATTTCTTCTGTGTAGAAACTTCCCATTTGCTGCATGTGAAAGTCTTCAGAGTTGATAAAGTCAGTGGAGCAGTTTGCCTTTCTGATAGCTTATATCCACCTTTTGCGCACACACACTTTGAAATTTTATTACGTTCTGCTGCCATTTTATTCCCATAAACAAATCATTCCAAGCCCATATACTGAAACCAATCCACATCAGGTTTGTGATGAATTGTGGCAATAAATAGTTATAAAAGTCTTCCAGTCCAACACATAATTAAATTTATTATACATCATTTTCAGTAAACTTTGCATTACACCCTCTTTCCATTGATTATGGCTCTGATCCCGGGTCAGCCACTGTTAACTCTCATGAAATATGATCAAACCGAAACATGTCACTTTCTATTTACTGGAGTCATATCATCATATTTCATAACGGTAGACTAGAGGTCGAATGTGGGAAAGCGATCGTAAATCACTGGTTGTCGAAGCTGATCCAGATCTATTAACACGAACGTGGGCGGTGTGAAACGTCCCGCTGCAGAAAGGTGTTGGCTGTGAAACAGTAAAAGCTATTAAAATTATACATTTTCCAACTGTTCGGAGCATTTCTGTGCACTGCCATCCAGCTGGCTTATACATTTTACTCAACCATTACAATAAAATAAGCATTTTAAGCATAAACGTATGTAAAAGTCTGCACGTGGTAAAAAAAAATAGCAATAACTAAACATCATAACATTTAAACAGCTGTAATAATTCAATTATTTCATCAGTAGACTAAAACTAGCTTGCAAGTAACTTTTAAACAAGACATAGGAGCTTGTTTTAAACAAATAATTCCTGAAAATTAAAGGGAAAGTACTAATTTTAAGTTAAATAATCAGCTAGTGGAACAAGACATTTTCCAGTGTTCATTTTAAGTTCAAAAGTTTTATTCCACTGTCTATTTTCACATATAACTAGTACGCCACAACATCTTGCCAAGTTAATTGTAAGTTAGTTGCCTCATTTAAGAGCATACTATATATATATTTGATTTTGAGCTGTTCTTAATAAATTTATATAAATTCATTAAGAACAGCTCAAAATCAAATTCCTTCAACTTTCAGCTTAAATTTAGCATTTAAGCTAAAACATCCACCTGTGGCTCAGAGCCCACATGCTAATGAGGGGTGTCTTTATATCTCTCTTTTTCTCCTGCCTCTCTCGCCTCTCGCTTGGAGGGGACAGAGAAAGAAAGAAAGAAAGAAAGAAAGAAAGAAAGAAAGAAGAAGGGACGGAGGGAGGTGAGTGTGCGCTGCATACAGAGGGGATAAACTTTGAAAAGTCCCTCAGTGTGAGCTAACAGTGGCCGTTTGAGAGCGACGGAGAGGCGCGCGAGGCGTAGCGGCAAATGAGCTCGGACGGACCGTGAAGCCGCCATGACACCACAAAAGAGACCGAGCCGAGAGAGAGAGGAGGGAGAGCGGACTTACTCAGTGTCTGCCAGTCGGTAGCATCTCCTCGCTCCGCTCTGATTGCCGGCGCTTCTTTCGGGCTGGGATAGACGGGCGTGTGTGACGTGAGAGAGCACGCCTCTCTTTCTGAGCATGTGTGGAAAGTTGAAGTTTTCTGGGCTGCATTTGTAGTCACCGGGAGTGGGACGGACTGGCAGTCATCTTTTCTTCCTCCTCCTCCTCTTTCCTTCCCGCATCTCCAGCTCATTTTCTCAGTCACATTCACTTTAGTGACTTTTTGGAAAAGTGTACTTTTGCGAGTCATTTCTAGTACTACCTTTATTATCTTTTTTTTTTTTTTTTTACCTTTGACTAAAAAGGTTAAAAAAAATAATTAATGTCTTATTTGAGTAAAATTGTTTCCTGCAGTCTTTGTTAGTTTTATGGGTTTATTATTTAAAAACAGTTATTTGGAATAATGTGTTTTTTTAGTCTAATGCCATTTTTTATTTCATAGGCGATATATATTTATGAAGTTTTCAAAAAACAGCATACACAGATCATACACAACAGTATGAATATATATATATATATATATATATATATATATATATATATATATATATATATATACTTAACATGTAAGAAAAATAAAAACATAAAATAACTAAATAGAAAATAGAAATAAAAAAAGAGTAAGTCAGAGAGATTGTCTCAATAACCCATTACGTTGCACTCAATGTTGTCATTTTGTAAGTAATTTTACTTTGGCCCCTTAAAATACAAACAGTTTTATGTCATTCTAAATATTAAGCAGCCTTTTCACCAAATACTTCTCTATTTCCACTTGAGTAATTTCTTGGACAGCTCTGTTTCACTTTTTACTTGAGTGAAAATATGTTGAAGTTGTGCTGCTCTTACTTGAGTACAGTTGTTGTGTACGCTACTCATCTTTGAGTGTTGCTCAGAAAAAAAAGATCAGGAGATAGAAAGGATCAAAAATGGCACATGACCCGCCATAAAACTCTTGTTTTATTGCTTCTAATGTTTCCATGTGTCGCACAGGACAAAAATGCAATCAGCCACAGGGTCAGTAACTTTTCTCCCTGTAGAATCAGAGCAGAATCACTGCTTATTATTTCAAATCACTTTTCTTTGATTTCCTTTGTTGTCTTCCTCCAGGGAAATCCTGCCAGATTCAAAAACCGCCGATCACAACACATGCGCAGGAAGGAAGTGTGGCTGCTTCTCCTTTGGGATTTTTTCCCGTCAACAGGTTGTTGACACGGTTCTGGTACCGGTGGCGGCCATTGTTTTGGGTTTGCTCTGCTGCTGCCAGCTCTGACAAGCCAAAGTGGATGGCGTGAATATCGGTCGCATACCTGAGAGTGATTAAAGCTATTCATAGCAGGACGGAGAAGTCACATGGTCATAGCCAAGATGGTTGCTGCAATCTGTCATTTAGTGTGTGACACAGATTACATAACTGCAGGAAATTATACTTTTTTCCTGAAAAAAATAGCCTGAAAAGTGCCAGTGAATAGTTTCAAGCCATCATATAGTCGTACAAACTACCATCTCCCTTCATTTAGTGTAGCAGACACAACAATCACTTAATCTGAAGGAAAAAAAATCTGAAAATAAAGCTATTTGAAGCTTTAAACATGAAGATAAACACACAAGTTTTCTTGTCGCTCCAATTCTGAAGAGTGCCGAAAGTAATTGGGTCTTGGTGTCGTATCATATTCAAACTTCAGGAAAACAGGAAGCAATAGACTGCTTTAAAATGCAGAGATGCACCAATATTGTTTTCTTGCCAATTTCTGCCCTTCTCTGATCTCTAAAATGCAACAATAAAATGCAAAATGCAACAATTTGTAACATAGTTAATGTTGTATAGAACTCCACTTGTCATAATTTCTAAGATTGGGTTCATATGTAATGGGTGAAACAGCGCCCCCTCCTGGTGATTGGCAGCGTTAAATATAGTGAACAGACATCTCGTTGCCAGTTCATGAGAGATGGACGCGAGGTGATGTACTGCCTGTGATGAACCTGGTCCATGATTATTTTATATTCTGTTTCATACAAATAAACTACATTTAGTCTCATCCTGTCTCCTGGTCCCATATTCACACAACGCAGAGCTGATTATAATCCATTATAATTAAAAAAGTTACACATTTACTGACCGAAATCAGTGGGAGTTTTCACTTTTAATTGGAATCTGAATAACATTAATTAAAAAAAAACAAAAAGAAAAAGCTTCAGCAGCCTTTGTCTTATAATAAATATCAGAAGATGTGACTTATGGACGGGATAAGAAAACAAAAACAACTATCTTTTATTGCCTAGTGTATCAAAAAAAAAAATCCTAAAAATACTGACTTAAGCTATTGTGAATACATACATTTATTTATACAAACATATTTATTTCCAGTTATATTTGAATGACATCTTTTCACTGATCCAAATAAACTAGATTTATTGAACCAAACTCTATCGTGGATCTTCAAAGTTTGGACTTCGTTCAACTGGGGTGAGAGATCACTTTAGTCTAAGTCTCATGCAAATCTTTACCAAATGTCTAGATAAATGTAGAGGATGTTATGTTACAAAATATTATAAAGATGCTAACTTTCCAGCTGCCTACATAAGAACATTTCAATTTACCCACACAAATAAATCAAACAAATTAAAAAAAAAAGTTTCATTTAAATACATATTCAAGGTTGTATTAATTTGTATTAATAACACTTAGAGATTAGAGTGGGGTAAAGGAGAGAGATCGCCAGGATCTCTCGCTCTGAACCTCCGATATGTTTGACATTTCGCAAAATGAAACCAAGCAGCAGCCGGTCGATAGCACAGAGTTTCCACCAAAACCAGAGTTTTCAGTGATACCAGACACCTGTTTGTTTACTGCTCAGGCCGCCACCAAGGGGGTCAGTGGGTCAAAAACCTGGAGGTCAGGTCGAGATCGAGGACAGCAGGAAGCTGTTGCTTCTACTGAACAACACTGATGTGTTATGTTTTTATTTATCTGTATTTGCACAGATCAGGCCTACTATCATGTGAATTTTAAGACTATTCTATTAGGCGATCCTTTAAAACTTTCTGCGTGATTTCATTGATAAAATGCCACCAAAGTGAGGTCATGCTTCTTTGTTAGGCCCGAGCAGCTAAGCGCTGCGAAGGCCTATTGTATCTGTACTGTTTATTATTATTATTATTATTATTATTATTATTTTTCTTCCCACCTCTTTGGGGGGCTTTTTGGGGGCCTTATCATATTGGAAAACTCACCAAACTTGGCGGAGGCCGTAAGCCTGTTTAAAAATTTTGATTTTTAAGGTCATCACAAAAATCCCACAAGAAATGGCTCAATAGCGCCACCTAGAAATTTTCAAAGGACCCTTTGCTATTCACTTACTTTATCCTAGAGACATGAAATTTGGTACACTTGTAGAGCTCCCCAGGACGCTCAAAATTTACAATTAATGTCATAGTGCAAGTATCACAGGAAGTCAGCCATTTTGGATTGAAGGTCCAATTTTGAGGCCATTTTTGCCATTTACAGCCTCCGTATTTGATCGAACTCCTCCTAGGGATTTCGATTGATCGGCTTCAAACTCAGTCAGTCTGTTCATAAGGCATGTCCCATCTAAAGTTATCAAAACGGTGAGTTTTTGAGTATGCTGAAGGGGGGTTAGCAGGGGTCAAAGTTCACCTACTCGCCGTAAAAAAATAAACTGCTATATCTCCTACACAGAAACTCACAGAGGCACCAAAGTTTCTATGATGGATCATCATCGGGTGTCCTACAATACCCTATGGTCGAATGATGACATCACTTTGGCCACGCCCCCTGAGAACAGGAAGTGTAATGTTTTACTGTGAACTTTCACTATCTGACCCCTTTGACCTCATCAACATGAAACTGTGCCCAGACACAGAAGACATGTTGGTGTAGTGAGGATTCCAACCCCGTCCAGATTCGATGGAGCAGGTGGGCGTGGCGGCGTGGCGAAGTGACCTGTAACGCCATCGCCATACGTTTTGCTCTCAATTCCACAGTTTCGGTCCCAGCTGCTCCAAACTCACAAGGATGGATCCTCATCCACTCCCCGACAGGAATCCATCACAATATTTGGTGGGCGTGGCCTAATTTCTCTATAGCGCCCCCTAGAAAACTTTAAATGATCAGCCCCAAGCCATGCTTTAACCTACAATTACAAAACGTTGTACACATGTGTACCTTGTCAGGACTTACAAAAAAGTCTCTTGGAGCCATGGTCTAAACCCCACAGGAAGTCGGCCATTTTAGATTGAAGTTCAGATTTTGACCCCATTTTTGCCATTTACAGCCTCCGTATTTGATCGAACTCCTCCTAGGGATTTCGATTGATCGGCTTCAAACTCGGTCAGTCTGTTCATAAGGCATGTCCCATCTAAAGTTATCTAAACGGTGAGTTTTTGAGTATGCTGAAGGGGGCTTAGCAGGGGTCAAAGTTCACCTACACGCCATAAAAACATAAACTGCTATATTTCCTACACAGAATCTCACAGAGGGACCAAAGTTACTGTGATTGATCATCATCGGGTGTCCTACAATACCCTATGGTCGAATGATGACATCACTTTGGCCACGCCCCCTGAGAACAGGAAGTGTAATGTTTTACTGTTAACGGTCGCTATCTCACCCCTTTGACCTCATCAACATGAAACTGTGCCCAGACACAGAAGACATGTTGGTGTGTTGAGGATTCTAATCCCGACCAGCTACGATGGAGCAGCTGAGCGTGGCGGCGTGGCGAAGTGACCTGTAACGCCATCGCCATACGTTTGGCTCTCAATTCCACATTTTTGGGCACAGCTGCTCCAAACTCACAAGGATGGATCTTCATCCACTCCCCGACAGGAATCCATCACAATATTTGTAGGGTGTGGCCTAATTTATCTATAGCGCCCCCTAGAAAATTTTAAATGATCAGCCCCAAGCCATGCTTTAACCTACAATTACGAAACTTTGTACACGTGTGTACCTTGTCAGGACTTACAAAAAAGTCTCTTGGAGCCATGGTCTAAACCCCAGAGGAAGTGAGCCATTTTAGATTGAAGTTCAGATTTTGATCCCATTTTTGGCGTTTATAAACCATTTCAGTAATTCGCCACTTGGGGTCAGTATTGCTCCACAAATGAAACAGCAGATAAACAGAATGAAG